AAGGAGGATACCTTCTTTCGGCGCAAGGGAAAATTGTTCATGTTCTTTTTTCTTTTCTTTCTGGAGGTGGGCTTTGGAAACACCAAAACACCAGACCCTGCCGTTGCGCATGCACCATGAGACAGAAACAGCCCGTTAGGGGGGGGGGGGGCTCCGTGCCGGAGTCTATGGACGAGACGGGCTGAGGCAGAGAGGACGTGATGATGCGATGGAGTCGCAAATAACACATCCCGTTACTCGCTTGTTCACTCCTCCTTCCTCCAGACCAACCCAGTCCGCCTGTGCTCCAAGAACATAATCAACAGCCGTCTGTTACATACCAAGCTTCAGAGCGAGTGATGAACAATCAATCTAACCGCCGGTAGCCACATGCATACCCTCTAATTTCTTTCAACATTCCCTACGATCGAGTATGCAACCTTTTTCGCCGCAAGTGTCAACATGGCGACACCATGATCTGACCGAATCCCCCCCTACCGTCCCGCCGTCAAACCGCTCTCTCCTCTCGTCGTCGAAAACACCACCACCACAAACAAACAAGAGTTAAGTGTGTCTTTGCCCTCTGTCCCCGCCTTCTTTCAAAAGGCCCTTGCTTTTTCGTGCCCCCAAAACCCACTTATCAACCACTCCCAACCAGATAGATGCACAAACGAGAACCGTTGTGTTCGCTGGGGTACCCGCACGCCCCGCCTCAACTCCCAAATTCCGCTGCTGCGAACTCCCCCCCAAAAAAATGTGATAAATGCCACGAGTTTGTCAGAACAACCGCCAAAATAAAGAGCCAAGAGAAAAACACAGAATCGCTGCTGCTGGAAACGCTCCTCAAATCATTGTTGCGAAACTTGTTGCTCAACGAATGGCAAACAAATCAAGTTTCGCAAACGCGCGCAACAGGTACATCACGAAAACGCCAGCCTGTCGCAAAAAAAAAAAGCAGTCGACCAAACGCCGCAAAAAAAAAGCAGCACTTTCAGTAGCAGCAGCAGTGGTGGTACAGTCTACGTCAAACAATGTGAGAACACGCCGGTAGAGCACCAGCAACAACATCACATAATAGAACCCTATCCCGCACCGCGGACACGCTGGTCGGCGTGTTTCCGTACCCCCCCCCCCCCCGACACACTTGGCCCCCCCCGTTGGGCCAAACGGGATTTTCCCCCGATAGGCCCACCCCAAAAACCCTGGCGGGAAAAGACTTGGCCCCCCCGGCCCCCAACCCCCCCAAAAAACTGGGGGCCTTAAGCCCACAGCGGGAATACCTCCCAACCTCCTTTTCTGGCTTCCCGACCTTTTTGCAGCCCATCCCGCCCGTATGGGCAAGCCTCCCCGCCACCGGTGTTGTAACCCCTGCGCCCCTCCACCCGCTTAACCGCGCCCACCCCCTTCCGCACAAAAACCACCTGCGAGAACCCTAAAGCACACCC